TCATATTTTCGTTCATTGGACACAGCCTGTTTGTCCATTGAATTCACTACTATGTTGAATATGCTCTTCATTTATTTAGGATATTTGCTGCAATGGGAGCGATTTTGGCCTAAGTGTTCTTTTCACGATGGGGCCTCCTCTGTTATTTAAAACAAAGAGAATTAGCTTGGGAAAATGAATTGAACAATTGCCCCTATTTTTAATGGTTTGAAAGAGTTGACCTAAAAGATGACGAGTTCTCCCTGATCATTTGGTGGAAGTGGCCTCCAAAACTGCCCTGTCCTGGAACATTCGATGGGGGCTTGAGCTTAAATACAATTTCAGTTTCTATTGCACAACATAGGTTTTCCATTTTTTCTATGGATCCATTTGGCCGTTTTTTTAATGGTCCATGTTAGCTAGGATATAAAATGTAATGGCAAGATATTTGTGATAAAACTTTGTATTCCGAGACGTCTCAAACATGCAAACAGTAAGGAATAGTATCATTCACCCATCTACCTGACACTCAGTGTCACAAGTCTTCTATACATTTTCCTTCCAGATTCTCGGAGGTCATTGACACGCTGAGGCTTTTTATTTAGGTCTTTCAAGTGACATCACAAGCCTGCAGATCACTAGGGGTCAAGCTGGGAAAAAGCAGAGCCAGGCTGACTAACTTTTGAGAGTCTTACCCAGAGCATCGGAGGCAGCTTCCAGCACATTATGTGCACTTAATCCTGTCCTTGCGGACGTCAGCACTCTTCTGGCTGCTTTCTAAGAGGAAATGCAGGAAAGCTAATGGGAAACATCATAGCAAGAGGAGGTTGAGGGTTGGCAATTAGGAACTCGATGTGTTTCACACCTTGAAAGAGCTTGGGTGAGCAGAATGGTTTCAAAATAAGCACGTGAGGGCAGACCCTCCAGTTCCATGCTGTGCTGTGAGACAGCATTGGGAAGGTGGCTCCAGGGCTACAAGGAACCGTGCAGCTGGGAGGCCAGGGGGCAGGCCCAAGGCGAGAGGTTCCCTTCGTCATTCAGGGCGTCCATCCACCAGGAGAACCCTCCCTCGCAGACCTTTGGGTGTGGGGTTCGGGGCAGGAGGTGGGCCTAGAGGGGGTCCTGATGCCTCCCCCAGGGCCAACTCCCACAGCCCAGTGTCTTCTCTCTGCCCCGGCCCAGGAGCCCTGGCCGTCAGCCCGCCCAGGTCTAGAACAAGTTATAGCATGTTTGCACGGTTCTGACATGTCTGATGGACCATCCTCAACAGCAGACTTTCAGCGGGAAAGAAAAGCTGCCTCAATCAATGTACACAGCTATCAGAAGAAATAGACTGGTTCAGAATCTTCACCACATGGGGGGAGGTACATCTCAGACACACAGTGGCAAGAGCTACATCTACTGACCACCTAATTTGGGCCAGGCCTCTTACATACAGGTCACATCATGCATAAAGTCACACCAATGCTTTGAGCTGGTACTAGTGCTATGCCCTTTCTACAGATCAAGAAATTGAGGCACAGAGAGTTTACATGATTGGCTCGGCTTAGGAGCAGCAGAACTCCTATTCAAGCTGAGCTTCATATGGGTGCAAAGCCCTGTCCCCGCACCGGCCTGAGCCATCTCCCCCACAATCAAGGGGCTTCCAGCAGTACTCTGTGGTGACCTCATGTGTGACACCTCATCCCACATAATTGCGGGACCGCAGGGATGCCAAGCAGTGGTGGCAAGGAGAGCCTGACGCTGAACCCTGCCTACATGGCCTCTCCCAGCCTCATCAGGTCACCATCTCTCCTGACATGGGGACAGACTTTTCAGGATGGTCCTGCTCCCATTTCATGATGTGGTCCAGTGCTCCAGCTCACCTCCAGACGCATCTGCTCCCACGTCCCTCCCTTGGCCAGCCCAGGGCGGTTCAGACGGGATCTGGCGGCTGCTCCTCCTTCCACCTCTCCTGGCACAGCTGACCCTCTTCACAGCCTGCCTCCTGGGAC